CTTACCTTTTAGAAAAATGTCACTTTGCAACCCTGCAACCCTGATTTGCATTTGTATAGCTGACAGCATTTTCATTTACATGTTAAAGCCTCCCCTAGAATTCCATGGGGGGGAGGCATGGGGGGAACACTGCCTAAGAAAGCCCACGTCAATTTCTGAGAATTTATGGGAGTTTTCGGCGATGCCTGCAAATTACCGTAAACTGCCGTTAACCTGAACTTCCACGACAATCTACAGTGCCGCATATTGACGAAAATCCCACTTTTCATGCAGTGGAGGGAGCCGTCCTTCTTGGAAACGAAGAAAAACCCCGCACCGAGAGGCGAGGACGACGGGCGGATTAGCCCGGCTGCTAGAGACTCCTTGATATATTTCTCTAGCGCCTGACGTTCGGCCCAAGAAATATTGTAGAGACGACTGGTTGGCAGCGGGGCACCTGGCAAGAGGTCGATGGCGCAATCGTACGGGCGATGCGGCGGAAGCAAGCAGGCCAGGGTCTTACTGAAGACCTGCTTGAGATCATGATACTGCTCAGGCACCAGTTTCAAGTTCTCAGGATCAACCTGAGCACAGGACAGTTCAGGAGGCGGACTAGACGGTTCAGCAGATTGCAGACATTCGGCATGACATCTGGTTGACCAAGAATTAACACGTCGGTCGACCCAGTTTATTTGCGGGTTATACAGCTGCAACCACAGGAAACCAAGAACGATCGGTGCATGCTTAACAGGAAAAACTAAAAAGGTAACTCGTTCTCTATGGTTACCAGAGACCACGAGTTCAAGAGGCTTAGTACGATGGGTTAATCTAGGGAGAACACCACCGTCCAGGGCGGAAACCTGGAGAGGCGTGCACAAAGGGACCGTCTCGAGGCGAGAACGGAGGACAAAGGACCGATCAATTAAATTAAAATCGCACCCTGAATCAACGAGGGTTGACAACTTAAAGGTCAGCTGAACAGAAATGATTGCAGCCTGGAGACAGACCCACGGAGGTGAAGACAAAAGTAAAAGTAAGATTGGTCCGCTGGCTCCTCCGCTACGACCGACGGACCAGTTCTTTTGGGCTCTTTGGGCAATCCCGAATAAAATGATCTGGTGAGGCGCAATACAGGCATAACCTAGAGTTCATGCACTGCTGTCTCTCTTCTGGGATGAGCCGCACCCGGCCCAGCTGCATGGGTTCCGGGGGAGAAGGCAGCGCCGCAGCGGCTCTCAGGGAGCTTCGATCGGGCTGAGGCAGCAGACTAAAGGTGGCTCTCTCTGGACAACTTCGACTCCGAAGGCGATTATCTAAACGAACCGCTAGGGCAATGTAATCGTTTAAGGTGGAAGGTTCCTCTAGCCGAGCTAATTCGTCCTTAAGAGACTCGTCAAGAGCCTGGAAAAACACTGACTTGAGAGCGCGTTGCTCCCAACCTGCCACAGCCGCCAAGGTCCGGAACTCTATGGCAAAATCCGCAACACGTCTACCCCGCTGCCGAAGAGCTAAGAGCCGCCGTGAGTCCTGCACCTCATCAGAATCGGCTGCAAAAATCATCTTAAATTCAGACAAAAACTCATCAAATGTGCAGCCAAAACGCTGGCAGTCAGGAAAACGGGACTCAGCCCATCTTAGTGCTCTTCCCGTTAACAGCCGTAAAATAAAAGAAATTTAGACATGATGCTGGGCGTACAAACGTGGGGGAACGGTTAAAAACGAGTGAACACTGGAAAAGGAATCCCCCACAATCTCCGCTGTCACCTGAGAACCTCTCCGGACTGGGCGAGGAGGGCTCGGGGGCGGAGAACCACGTCTCCGCTGACGCGGAGCAGTGGGCGGAGCCAGGGGCTGCGGAAGCGGTTGCCTGGGGGCTCACGCTTAGCACGCTAGTCAGCTGATTGATCTGAGCTGCGAAACCCTGTAACTGACTCTGCAGCCCCAGAACGGTGGCTTCTAAACCCCCGAATCTGGTCCTGTTGAGTGGTTAACGCCCTACCGAGTGCGTTCACTGGGTCTGTTTTGTCAGAGTGTTCTTCTGTCATGTTTGGCTTGATGTGCCATGCCCACATGCAGAAACACACTCGGAAAACGTGTATTGTTTCAGGGGTTTTATTTAACACTAGGCAAACGGATCACAGAGATAAACGCCAACCAACAAAACTACAAAAGCTGGGGTGCTGCCAGGAAACCAGTTTCGTCTAAGAAGGAAAGAGATGAGGTTAGACCGCGGAGAGTTCTGGTGGAAAAAACCTACGGAGCTGAGCTTACCACTGAGCGTGGACACCGGGAGGGAAGTAGTGAGGGCTTGGTGCTGCCTGATGGTGATGTGACAGGCGTCAGCGTGACCAGAGAGCGGGGGATGTGGAGTTGTCCAAGCAGCCCCCGGGAATCCGGAGATCAGAACCAGCGGGAGGAACCAGGGAGAAACGGGGGAAGCCAAGAACCCTGAGACAGGGTGACCAACTCTGAATGCTCCAGAGAGGAGCTGGAGGGATCCGCCATGAGAGAAGACAAGGATTCACGAGAGAGAACCTGGGAGACACAAATGCAGGCGTATAAGCTAGAGACAAGGTAACTTTGGCAAGAGGCCGTGGCCGATCTGGCATACCGCAACGGTAACACTCTGGCATCCTCCCGCTGTCTGTGCGCTGTTCAAATAGTGCTGTGCCAATGAAGGTAAACAGAGGAGAGAGAACCGGCAGCAAGCTGCACGGCTGAGCAGGCCGAGTCCTGACAGTATGCATTTTACCATACACTGCTAAGGCTACCAACAGTATCTTTGTAGGCTAAATGTAAACAAATATTTCATTTTGGTCATGTTCGTGTCACATGTAACAATGTCCAGCATCTGTCATTTACCTTAGGTGTCAATATATCATGAGAGGGATGCCAGCTGCCTCAGTATGTGATGCACAAGGAGCTTTGACAGAGGATGTTAGTATTTGACGAGATATGAGTGAGAATGTTTTGCAGTCAAAAGCTGGCCTTCCCCCACAAAATCCAGACTTTAAACATCTTTAGGGTTTTTTCTCTCACAGTGCAGCCTCATTATCAGTTCTGTTGTGATCAATACAAAGCTTACATTTAATTACTCATGGTAAAATATTTATATTTGATTTAATTTTATAAATGCTTAAGCCATCATTGATCTTTTTTTTTATATTTCCAAAGCTTCTGAAAGCGACAAAAAGGACATGCCGTTTTCAGACGCTGAAAAAGTATTTGTTTTTTTCTTTTAGGGATATCTCCCGTGGATTTGAGGCAGTTCCTATCAGCTGTGTTAATGGTGTTGACAATGAACCATGTCCTGAGAACTTTAAATATATACAAGACAACTTTCTCAACTCATCCCTGCATATGGACAAAGACATTACTCATCTTCAGGTTAGCCGTTACCCCTTAGTCTAAGGATTCTCCTAGAGCAGATAAGGCATAAAGCATGTTTCCTGTTCTATTTTGTTCTACATTGTAAAATGTTCAAATAGGTAACGTATGAATGTTTTTGCTCACAAAGCACTGCAGGTGTACAGACGACTGCTCATCAAGTTCCTGCTTGTGTGGTCAGCTTAGTCTGCGTTGTTGGTATGACAGTGTAAGTCCAGACCCACATATTTACACTACTAAAAACCCTTATCGAAAGTCACATATGCTTAGCTCTGTTTAGTATCATAGCCCTGTATATACAAAATACCTCTTTATTCCATATCATTTATCATTCATGGCACATTGCTTTTGTGCTATTTAAATATTAAACATAAGATTTCATTAATTAGAAAATAACAATTGATTCAGTTTATATTAAATTAAAAGGCTACAGTTTTAACTTCTCGCAGCCAGTAAGTGGCACACTTACCTGCTGTATTGTTTGTACTAATGCTAGCAAAACCAAATAATAAACATACCAGTTCAGAAGAAAAGCAGAAACAAATATATGCCCCCTGAGCCCCTTTGCTTCCTTAAGTTGGATCCAATGCTAAAAAGCTTGACCAATACTCAACCTCATTTGGCTTCTATTGAGGATCTGGCTTTGTCTTACATAACTTCAACCCATTGGTGTGGAGTCCTTTTGTGTCCATGTAGGGATTGGAAGCAGGATAATTATATACTATATAAATAATTGTTTAATAATTCTGATGGATCCAAAATATATATTTTTAGAAATTCAATTGTTTCATTTAAAAGTTGTAGCTGTTTTACGGTTAAGGTTCCAACTGACTTGTTTAATATTTTGTTTTTGCTCAATATGTAATATAAATACACAGGCTAAAAAAAAAAGCTTTCACTTAACATTGAAGGGGTTTTTGTATGCTTCTGCAGGACGGTCGCTTACCACTGGACTTCTGTGAATGGGAACCTCCAGTGTTGTTTGAGTGCAATCTTGCCTGTTCCTGCTGGAGGACCTGTAGGAACCGTGTTGTTCAAAATGGACTCAGGTGTGCTAACCTTTTGATAAGGAGATATGCTTCTAAAAACTTAGTGTACTTTATATCCATCTTGATATTTCATGTGTTTTGACATTGTTCTTTAGGGATTATGAGTTGTATCGACACTTGTATTGACACTATTTTAATCTTTTGAGTTTGTGTCATTTTTGGCTCTATCAACCTGCTGTTCTCTATTTTACCTATTTAAACATGTTTGTGTGACATGTGTAGATTTATTTAACTTTATTTAACCATGAATAAATACAAATTAAAAACCAATCTTTCAAGGGAGTCCTGACCAAGACGCAGCAAAGTTATACTAAACAGAAATACATTAAATTAAATGACAGGTACATAAAAACAACATATCAAGTGTCAAAAGCTTTCAAACGGTCAAAGCATAGCAGCAGTGATAGAGCTATGTTTGTTTTTGAAACATAATTGATATTTAGAAACGAATTTTAATGTAGGAACTCTTTCAATTTATCACAAGAGACTCCAGAATTTTGAATAAAACCCATACAATTAAAGTAGGCCTATAATTGGTAAGAACTGATGGATCACCTCATTTTAATAAAAGAACAGAGGCAGCTTTCCAAAAAGATGGGATGTCCTCGTGTTCAATTGAAAGATTAAAATTAATGGACAGTGGTTCTGCCCTGAAATCAGCTGCCAGTTTTAAGAAGCCAGCCTCAAGCAAGTCAGGTCCAGGGGCCTTTCTGTGGTCTAATGTTCTTAAAGCTTTATGTACTTTGTGACAAGTAAAAGGAGCAGCATTAAAAGGATCTCCAGAAAACATGGGAGATATTGTTCAAATATTCCCGTGAGTTGTCCCTTTTGAATCAAATAGAGAACCAGACAATAAAGAATGCTGGTTAAAACAATTCAAGGCTTCAGCTGAATCATAAACAGGCACGGAGTCTTTAAGTACAAATTTTGATATAAGGCTTGCTCATAAGTTTTAAGACTCCTTCTGCTAAAAATAAGGGGTTTGCATTTTGGAATCCTAGTAATTCTACATGCTGCAACCACACAATGATCGCTTAGGTCATTGCAGAAAACACCCAAGGAATAGAACTTATGAGGCACATTAGTTAAGATTAAGTCAATCAAGGTAGATTGATCTGGACAGGGGGAGTGGAGGCCTCGTTGTTAGGGTTCAAGCCTCAACCCCACAGACTGCCACTCTGGATCCCTGAGAAAGACTCTTAACCCCCACACTGCTCCCTGGTCACCACACAATGGCAGTCCACTGCTCCTCCATCTCCCCAAAGAGATGGGTTAAATGCAGTTATTTTTTTTGCTTTGTGACAGTGTCATGCAAAAAAGTTGAATTCTATTCTACGTTTGGGATTAGGCCTGATCGGACAATTGACTAACTGGGTGAGAATAATAGAATTACAACACCTTTTAAACTCATCAAAAGTTGCATTAACCAGTCCCTGTTAAAATCTCCTGTCAAAAGCAGTTCAGTGTAATTTAACTGATGCCTCTTTTGAAGCAGATGGAGGCCTGTAACACCCAGCCACAGTAGTATGTAGATTCCAAGGCCACAAATTGTCTTCATTTACTAATTGACTGATAAACAATTAAAATGTGTCTGGAATTGACATAAATACCAACACCCCCATCTTTTTTCAGCCTATCAGTACAGTAGAGATTATACCCCATGATATAAATGTCTTAATTAGTAATAGACTTAGTAAGCCAAGTTTCTGAGATCAAAACAGCATCTGCACCTGTTGTTTCCACCCAAATTCTGACCATGTCCATATTTGGGAGTAAGCTCTGTAAATTAAGACACACATATTTAAGACCAGCTAGTGACTTACAATCAGAGGGTGTCTGGAAGCATTAAAGCTCAGGTCTTGTAACACGCACTGAAGCTTGGACAAAATATTCAGCAGACAAACATAAGGTTTTAAAACAGGTTTATTTCAAAGATAACAGAAAGAGGACGATGGAAACTCCTCAGAGCGGGTTCTCTGAATCTCTGCTGAGACAGGAAACTCAGGTCAGTGACAAGAATGAAGAGTGGAGAAGACAAAATGTAGCTGACCTGGTTGAGAGTTAAGTCCGAAACTCGGGGGAAGACAATCCACTGCTTGCGGTCGTTACCGCCTCAGAGAACAGAGTGCCACGGAGCCGGCGCCAGCCGACGCAGAGTGAGCTACAGTGTCCGTGAAGGATTATGCGAGGCCGAAAACCAGTCCAGAGCAGTGTCAGAAACCAGGTGATTCGAGAGCTGAAGAGGTATCCAAGGAGATCCAAGCAGAGGTCAGAAAAACAGTCCAAGTTCGATAACAGGCAAAATACAGGCAGCCAGGCCAAAAAACAAACTGAGCAGGGCAGACAGGGAAAAAGGCAAAAACCAAAAACACATGGGCAAAAACCTGAGAAGAATTCCACAGAACAGAACACTAACTTTGAAAGCTTTGGTAACTGACACAGGTTGAAAAATCCGATGCTGATGGCAGGAAAGCAAACAGCCTAAATAGCTGCAGGGACCAGGTGAATCAGATTGGCAGTAATCTGCCACAGGGTCAATTAGGCAGGTGAGCAGGAGCAGAGGAAAAAAAAAACAACCATCAGCGCCAGGATTATGACAGGTCTAGGATTTGGTTGCACATTTCCAGACAACAGTAAAAGTAAAGTGACCGATGCCCACCCACTGTTCCAGACGGGAAAGTAAAATGACATGATCAACTGTATCAAAAGCTGATGATAAATCCAACAGCACCAAAACAACAACGTCACCTGAGTCAGTTGCTCAAAGTATATCATTAAAAACCTTTAAAAGAGCTGACTCTGTGCCATGAAGTGGTTTAAAACCAGACTGAAAAACCTCTAATATTTTATGTTTATTAAGATAAGCCATTAGCTGATTACAGACTACCTTCTCAAGAAATTTTGGAATAAAAGGCAATTTAGAGATAGGTCGATAATTTGCCAGAACAGTAGGATCCAAAACTGGTTTCTTAAGTAGAGGCTGCAGAACTGCATGTTTCAGAGTTTTAGGAACAACGCATGAGGACAAGCTACTATTTAAAAGAGCAACGACAGAAGGACCTATAGTAGAGAAAACTTCTTTAAATAATTGGGGCAAAATAACATCATCTGGAGAACGAGCTGGTCTTAAGTGACTAACCACCTCCTGCAATGATTTCAAGTTCACACATTCAAAGCTGTGGAAAACACCAGAACAAGGCACCACAACTGAAAGATCATAAGAAGAAGCGATAATCTGGGCCCTAATGGAAACGACTTTCCAGTGTAAGAAGTTTTCACATGCAGCAAGGGGAGGTCTCCATAAAACCACTATATGAATCATTTAGAACAGAGTTAATAATTTTAAATAGGATAGCAGGATTATGACTATTTGATACAATCAAACCCAACAGGTATTTTCTTTGGCTGCTTTTTGCAATCCCTTGATAACGGCGCCAACATTCCTTTAATATTTGGAGAGTCACCTGTAATTTGTCTTTTCTCTATTTGCATTCTGCTCTGCAGCAGTCTCTCCTGGCAGCCTGAGTGACCTTATTTAACCAGGGTTCACGCTTGGGTTTTGGAAGTCTAATTTTTAGTGGTGCCACCAAATCCAAGGCTGCTTTAGTGGTAGAATAAAACCAGTTGCTGAGTTCCTCAGTGTTATTTCCCACAGCCTCTGGAATGGTACAGTTCTGATTAAAAACAGAAGAAAAGTGACCAGCAGTAGTAGGGTTAAAAAAATGACAAAGCCGAGCTGTGGCTCGAGTTTTAGCTTTTCCACGGGACAGCATTATCTCATATAAAATAGGCATATGGTCAGAAAAGAATGAGTCACCTATTTCTAAGTTAAAGACTAGTAGGCCATAAGATAAAACTAAATCAAGAGTGTGACCATGCTGATGAGTAGCACCAGTCACACTGCACAAAATTATAAGAATCAATAACATTAAAAAATGACTGAGCCATAGGTGAAGTGGGACAGCAGACATGAATATTAAAATCACCAAAAAAGAGAACTCGGTCATATTTTGGCATGTTTTTGTTATACTTTGATGGCCGATAGAGTGCAGCACACAACACAGTGTGAGAGCTGCCAAGTTCAATAGGCTCAGCTCAAAGCTACTATACGAGGGTACAGGCAACTGCTTGCAAGTAAAACTACTATTAAAAACAGTCACTATTCATCTACGACAGGAATTAGAAGTAGTTAAGAGCACCTGAGTGGAAATGGCACTGTCATCAACTTAGTTTCAGCAGAATGCCCACTGTAGCAGGCTTAAGCCTGATTTATACTTCAAAACTAGATCGTCTTGCGTAGGTGTCGCATTGAACAAAAAGACATCCCTGCCCCCACCGCAGACACTCTGCTGCACCTCTCCCAAATTGTAGGTGACCGCAGACCATGCCGCAGACAGGAAGCCTTTGCTTGGTCAAATCTGCACCCGCTTGCAGGCTTGTTTTATTTGTATGACCGCCATTGCGGAAAAAGACTCGTGAAGTTAGATCAGCTAGAAGAGCGAGGTGCGTGAGAACGCTGGGACCATTTTTACACCTGGATCCCCGGGCTTTTAGGCCCTCATGTCCCTCCGTTGTCGGACAAACCTGCCCCCACTTCCCTACCGCCTCGGCCGTATCTAGACCCACAGCAGATAACACAGACCATGCTCAAAATTGAGCATAAATCAAAAATGTCTGCTTCAAGTTCACTGCAACACACTGCTGTGGGGAGTAGGCCTCAGGGCTGGGTGGATTAAGGTAGTCCTCAGGCTCAAAATATCTTTCCAAGATAGACACAAAAACCTTCCAAGTCCTCTGCTTGTTGGAATAAGAGTGATAAAAGCTTTTTATGCATACAGTCATGAGTAAAACAGTCAAATGACACCAGCAAATAAAACAGTAAAATCCCTAAAACAGATAAAAACTGAACAGAGACACCATACATTCTGCAATCTTGGATTTTAGCCTAATTCCTAAATTATGGGCAGTTGCAGAAAAAAACAGGAGGGTTTTAGGAATGTGCTGTCCTCATCACATGTACTTGATATGACTTGACAGTCAGTTAAACGCCTCCTTAACATCAAGACTCTGAAGACAGATGACTCCTTGTCCACAGGTTTATTGAAGTCGTAAGGAAGGTGAAACTGCAACATACAAATTACAATCAACAATTTTTCTACTCCTTTACATTAGAGCAAAAATAAGCATGTTTATTAGAAGTAAAATAAATCACGTCATTGTAAAATTAACATTGTAGAAGGCCTGATTAACCAACTTACTTCTGTTTATAAACATTTTTAAACCAAATTATTTATGCATTTATCTATTCACTTATTTAACTGAACTAGTTTGACACATTATTCAGCAAAATCACATATATTAACAGTGTTACTTAAGCAGGGATAAATTTATAATCATAAAATATTATTACACGCAAAATAACGAACTGAAGTTGCAAATATCATAATAAACTATCAATACATACCAACGATGCTACCAAAGGCATAAGAAGTTTGCAGATGTTGCTGGATAAACTTGACAACAAAATTTAATTCTGTAGCATGTGCATTTTACTTCCTGATTACCTCATTCTACATCCTATGTGACAACTTCCTGTTTCCAGGCTTCAGTGTTTCTTAAAGTGACAGCACCACCTCACTGATACTTAAAGATAACCTTAATAACAAATGAAAAAAGGAACATAAAATTTGCTCATAACAATACACTCCCTGCCTGGCGTAGATATACGTCACTAAACAGAAAAACAACCTAAATAACTAATCCCTGCTTGGGAGGAGAACCACTATCTCTGTAATAGGTCTGAGATAGATTGCAGTCCTTCCTGCTTTCACAGTTTTCACTTCAACGTGTCCCACTTTTCCATCTTGACCAGGGAAGGTCTTTGTTATCAGCCCATCAGGCCATTCATTTCTCGCCACCTCGCTGCACTTAACAGAACAACACTCCCTTCTGTGATGTTAGGTTGCATTGATTGCCATTTCTGACGGGGTTGCAGCATGGGCAGGTATTGTTTCCTCCATCTGTCCCAGAAGGTATTGGATAAGTGTTGCACCTGTCGCCACTGAGACTTATAAAGGTCAGAAGCTCCAAACTCGCCCCCTGGAGCCTTAACAACATTCACCTTTTGAGTGAGGAGAGTTGCAGGTGTGAGCATGTAGAAGTCGTCAGGATCATCTGTTACTGGCAAGAGTGGCCTAGATTGATGATAGCGGCTACTTCTGCCATGAAGGTAACCAAGACCTCATGGGTAAGCTTGTTTTTTAGCTGAAGGAACATGGAGTCGAGAATTCTCCTTGCCAGACCGATCATTCTCTCCCATGCACCACCATGGTGAGAAGCATGCGGAGGATTAAAAATCCAAGTGACTCCCTGGTTCAACAGGTAAGTCTTGACTGTAGAGTCATCAATGTTGCATGGTATTCTCAATTCTTTACAGGCTCCTACAAAATTGGTGCCACGATCTGATCGTATGTGTTTGACTGGTCCTCGCACAGCAAGAAAGCGTCTGAATGCATTGATGAAGCTTGATGTGTCGTGGGACTCAATGACTTCAATGTGAACAGCTCTTACACTCATACATGTAAACATTGCAGCCCACCGTTTACTGTACAACAGGCCCCCTCTAGCACGACGTGAACTGATGTGCCATGGGCCAAAGACATCCAGACCCACATTAGTAAATGGGGGATCTGTGGTAAGACGATCTGCCGGTAGATTGGCCATCTTCTGGACAATGAGTGGCGCCCTGAGCCTTTTACATGTTACACATTGGTTGAGGATACTGCTCACCTTCCTTTTGCATCCGACTATCCAAAAGCCTGAGGTGTGGACAGCTCCCTCTGTAAAATGACTGCCCTGATGGTGAACTTGTTCATGGCAATGTCTGATTATTAGAGCTGCAACATGATGCTGTCCAGGGATGATCACTGGATTCTTTTCAGTCCGATTAAGGCTAGAATGGTGGAGATGTCCTCCAACTCTCAGGAGCCCATGTTCATCGATAAATGGGTCTAGTCTGTGGAGAGGGCTGGATTTAGGAATCTTTTTTTCCTTCTGAATTAACTTAATCTCTTCCATGTAGGTTTCCTCCTGCACTGTTCGTGTGATGATATTCGAAACACGATCTATCTCCCCCACAGTTATCCTTGCTGTGCAATAGTGCCAGCCTTTACAAGACTGGTTTCTCGTCTGCACAATCTTGAACATGCAGACTATGTGCAATAGACGTGCTATGGCCCGAGTGAGAGACTTCCATAAAGAGAACTTGGCAAAACGATGAGAGCCAAGAGTTGTGGTGGAAGCTGTGGTGAGTAAGGTGGACACTACAGGTCTTACATCTGGATCTGAGATTGGATCAACAAGGTCAAAAATGTCCTTACAGTTCCTTGGTTCTGGGCTGGACAGAAATCTTGGTCCACTTAACCAGTTTGTGTCCTTAAGGTGACTTGCAGCAACAGAACGCGTAGTGTGATCTGCCACTGGTTTGGAAGAGAGGATTTTCGAATGCGTAGCACCCGGTTGTTGACAAAGACATAAAAACGTCTGCTCTCATTGTGGATGTAGCCCAAGACCACTTTGCTGTCTGAATAGTAGTGCAAGGCATTGAGCTGGAGATCCAGTTCTGCTGAGAGTAGGTCTGCTAGCTCTACAGCAAGAACTGCAGCACAAAGTTCTAATCTTGGCATGGTCATGTCAAGAAGAGGGGCAAGCTTGGCTTTGCCCATTACAAATCCAACATAGCATTTGCTGAATGCATCAATGACTCTCAGATATGCAACTGCAGCAATAGCCTTTGTTGATGCATCACAGAAGATATGCAGTTCTCTTCTGGAAGCAGCTGAAGGGGATGTTTCTGTATACAATCTGGGAACAGAAAAGCCAGACAGTCCGGATAAGGAGGCTCTCCATGACACCCAAATCTTCTCCATATTTTCTGGTAAAGGTGCATCCCAATCTCCTTTTTCAGTTGTGAGCTCTCTCAGGATAGCCTTTCCTTGGATGGTCACAGGTGCTACAAACCCAAAAGGGTCATAAAGGCTGTTGACGGTGGATAAAACACCCCTCCGGGTGTAGGGTTTAACCTCTTTAGACACACTGAACACGAAGTGTCTGTTTGGAGGTTCCAGTCGATGTGTTATCATCAAGGTCGAGATCTTTGAGGCTGTTTGCATGATCAGTGGGAACGCTTCCATGACTTCCTTTCTATTTGAGGCAATCTTATGTAGCCTAAGATTTGACTTAGAGAGAACATCTCAAGTCCTTTTCAACAACTTTACCGCTGCTTCAACTGTAGGCAGGGATTTAAGACCATCATCTACGTAGAAATCACGTGTGACAAAGTTCTTGAAATCTGCGTCAACTTTGAACTTTTGGTCTTGTACAGACTGATGGAGGCCATGAATAGCCACTGCTGGTGAGGGTCTATTTCCGAAGACATGGACATTCATACGGTAGTCTATAATGTTCTTACTGGGATCATTGTCCTGAAACCACAGGAAACATAAGAAGTTTCTGTCTTCTTCCCTCACATAAAAGCAATAGAACATTTGTTCTATATCTGCTGTGAAAGCCACTGCTTCTTTTCGAAAGCGCAGTAGTACACCCAAAAGTGAGTTGTTCAGGTCCGGCCCGGTTAGCAGCACATCGTTGAGTGCAACACCTTCATACTGAGCACTAGAGTCAAATACAACTCGAATTTGGTTGGGCTTCTTTGGATGGTACACACCAAATATGGCCAAGTACCACTGCTCTTCATCTGCTGTCACTGGAGGAGCTATTTCTGCATGGCCCTTTACAAACATCTTCTCCATGAAGCTTAGAAAATGTTCTCGCATTTCTGGCTTCCTTCTGAAGCTTTGTTTGAGTGAGATGAGGCGTTTTAATGCTTGGGGCTTGTTATTGGGAAGCCTCTGACGTGGGTGTTTAAAGGGTAACGGTGCAACCCAGCTGTTGTTTGCATCTTTGTGTAGACCCTCATTCATTGTTTTCATAAAAAGGGCATCCTGAATTGAAGGAGCCAACTGGTTGTCCTCTTTAGTCTGCCTAAACACAGCACATCCAAGATGATCAGCACAACACTCTGGGTCCATCTCGGCAAAGAGTGAAGGATGGGTTGGGATGTACTCACTGCTGTATTTCTCTTTGATGCAGAACACATTGGGGCAAGGTTCAAAGAGGGTAGGGCGTGTCGTTTCTGTGGTTTTGGTGTAAAAGGTGTTGATTGTTTGAGGCATGTGATTGCTGCCCAAGCATATATTCCCAATGATAACCCACCCAAGGTCAAGTTTCTGAGCATATGGCAGATCATGTGGGCCATTCAGCTGTTTACGTACCTTATGAACTCTGATAAGGTCTCGACAAAGCAGCAGCATAATCTGGGCTTGTGGGTCAATATTGGGG